GATACATTTTAAATACAAATTTACCATGTTTGCGATAACTTTAAAATTTTTGCCAGATTTCAAAGCATTCGATTTTGCAGTTCCTAACTCAATCCATAAAATAAATTGACACGTTCATTAATTTCTTTGAGTCACCCTGTATAAGAATTCTAAAAATATGAAGGCAATTATAAATCAGAAGTATAGACTCATCATGTTTTGCACATTGTCAGTAGGATCTTTTAGGTAAAATTTTGTAACGACATTATCAATATTTTGGGTGGGGATTAACAGATCTAGTTTGATTAAAAATTTATCGTGTTTGCGATAATTTTAAAACGTCTGCAAAACATTCGGATGTCTTGGGTATAAAATCAACAAGTATACAATTTAAAACACATTTGCTATGTAAAATTTTGTACTGGTGGGGACGATTAGACAAAGTTTGGTCCAGAGTATTACCATCTATTTAATATTCATAATACATATATAAAATTTCGAAACGTCCGCAAAACGTGAAAGTGGCAAGTCGTTCCATGAACTCGATTACAATACTTCCTTAGCTTACTTTCAGGAAGTAAAAATTAAATCAAAGCAACAGTTTTTGAACTAATGTGGTTTAAATCATAAAGCGTCCAAGCTTATCTAATTTGTAAGTTACAAATATCAAAAGTTCGTTATCCTTTTTGAAAGAATAAGCTTAATTTTGAACAGAATTTATTAACGATTTTTTATTACCTAATGGAGATAACTCACAAATTTTTCGGACAGAAAAAATTCAGAGTAATCGATTCGGTAGTTTTCTCATTACAAAAAAGTAAATGTGTGCGATTCGAATATCAGGACAGAAGAAAATCGCAAATGCAATTCAATTTTCATTCACGTTGGAATAATGTACTGCACCCTTTTTTAAAACCTGAAACCTATTACAAGCCACACTGTACTTACGTTTGTTACTGAAGAGAAAAACTTTACATTAGATACTACCGATATAAATACGGTAATTCCGGAGATTATTTAATGAAAGAGTATCAATAGCCGGATACAGGTCAAAGAATACCAATAAAATATGTATAACTGCTCTTGTCTGTTTTGTTGCCTGCGATTTTATTCATTTAGAAATCGTACACTCGTGACTGCTTTCTCCCTCTACGCAGATCAAAGATCAGTCCGCGAAAGCTTGTTGTTTAACCGTTTTAAACCCGTTTAAAACTAATAAGTGATGTGTTAATGTTGCAAAAATCCTATTCGAAACAATTATAGTGGATAGTTTTATTTTAAAATTAGTAGAAACTGCGACATTTATGAGCCAAACTTGTCCACAAATTTATTTCTACCGCAGTGTCTTCAAAGCAGGAAAATTTGTTGTTTTAGGTTTAGACAAACAAGAAATTATTTGTACTTTTGACGAGTTTACGATTTTCTAAAGATAGGGTTTGTTCGTGATGCAAAAGTTCGACTGGATTTATACAATACGATCACACATTCTAATGTTAAAAATCATGGGACTACAAATTAAAAGTGATGAGAAACCTGCATCCAATTTGTACAAACTGTACACATTTTTCTCAGTTGTTGTTATAATGGGTGTTCACAATTTTTTCCAGACAGTGAACATTTATTTCGTGTATAAAGACTTGGAAGTTCTAACACCTATTATCGTCGTGACTAGTACGAGTATTCTGGTGTCTGTAAAAATCTACTTCCTTCAGAGAAATATCAGCATCGTCAATAACCTTATACTCTCTTTAAACGGTGATCTATATCAACCAAAAACTGAAAAACAAAGAAGAAATGCTGAACTGACATTATACTTCTTTAATTTTGTCTATCTGTCTTTCTTCTCCCTTGCAGTTATGTCTTCAACTGCATGGTTACTAATTCCAATTCTGAGTAATGGCACTCAAGATAAACAGCTACCATTTTCTGCATGGTATCCGTATGACTGTACAATCTCGCCTCTGTACGAATTTACCTACATTTATCAATGTGTTGCCACATTTTACCTCGTCACAACTGTGGTACATATAGACACATTAATTCTGTTTCTCATAATGTACATCACAATCCAGTGTGATAATTTGTGTGATGATCTTAAAAATCTTCGCCATGACCTGTATAATATCAACGAAAGAATGATTGCTTGCGTCAAGCACCACCAAGCTATCTTGAGGTATTTCTGTAATAGAACACACCACTTTAGTGTTTTTGATATCTTGAACATTTCTAGTTCCGCTGTGGATAGTAATAAATTTTTCGATAAGACTATTTTAGGTCAGTTTGTCACTACCACGGTTACTTTTGCAGTAAATATGTTTCAGTTGTCTTTGGTAGGTTTTCCTGCAATAATGAAGGGCTGACAATTTTACAATTTTTTTAACAGGTTGCTAATTTAAGTCGTGAAGGTGTAAATAGTGTTTTTAACGCCATGGCAGTGATCACACAGATTTTTATTTACTGCTGGTTTGGAGAGGAACTTCAGATTAAGGTAGGAATAATTTAAATTTTTTAACCAGTTGTCGATGTTGCTGATGAGTGAATTCGTGTTCAAAAGATATTTTGTCGTGGTTTTTCTAAAATCAAACTTAGTTACAATATTCAAAAGGGATTTTTTTCGAAAAAAAGAATACATTTTCGACTATTTTGCTTTACAGTTAATAACTTTGACATCTAGAAATAATTGACGAATTAAAACTAATTTTTGCGCACCATTCTGTTCAATTAGATATAATTTTTTAGGTGTTTTCTCGAAATTTTTTACTTTAGAGTTAAAGAAATAATAAAAAATGAAAACAGCTTTAGAAATCACTACACATGTCCATATTTTATCATTGTAAAAATGTGATAACACCAAGTCACCCGATGGACTCGATTACTATAGTTTTTTAACTTACACTCAATAAGTAAAAATTGCCTCTCAGAAATAATAACAACTTGAAGTGAACATTTTTATATCGGGAGAATGTCACCTAGAACTTAGTTCGATTTGAATGAGTTTGTCGCCTCATTATTATTATAAGCCAAGCAAGACTCGTTTTTAATTCGATCAATAAAAAATTAAAGAGTGTTAAATTTTATTTAATCTATTGCTTCTAATGAAAAAAGGGAGTAGGGTGGTTAGATAGCTATATCTTGATTAAAAAATTACCATGCCTGTGATAATCTTGAAACGTCTGCGAGACTTCAAAGCATTTGATTTTGTAGTTCCTGATTTAATCCATTAAATAAATGGACTCATTCATTTTTTTAAGTCACTCTGTATAAGCGATTATAAAAATATGAAGACAATGATCAATCGCAAGTATAGACTCGTCAAATTTTGCACATTTTCAATAGGATTTATTTGGTAGTATTTTGAGATGACGTCATCAATTTTTTGGCGGGATAAACAGATATATTTTTATTAAAATTTACGATAACTTTAAAACGACTGCAAATATTCGGATATCTTGAGTAGAACATCAACACGTATTTATAAACTAGACGTGTATGTTATTTAATACAATTTAAAACTCCTTCACTATGTACCATTTTGAAATGACGTCATCACATTATTAGTTTGGTTAGCGTTTTACCACGTATGTGATATTAATTATAAATTATTTATATCTTCGGTTGATTCGAAGATTATCTGTCCAATAAAAATCCACACGGACGGCGGACAGTCAGACAGACAGACAGACAGACAGATAGACGGAAAAGGGAGACCACTTTTTTCATACTCTAAACGTCCAATGGACTCGATTACCATACTTCCTTAACTTACGCTCGGGAAGTAAAAATAAAATCAAAGCAATAGTTTTTGAACTAACATAGTTGAAATCATAAAACTTCGAGGCTAATCTACTAATTTGTGAATTACAAATATTAAAAATTTCGTTATTCTTTTTCAGTACCGAAACATGTAAGCTTAATTTAATTTTATAACCTAATAGGGATAACTCACGAATTTCTCGGACAGAAAAAATTCAGAGTAATCGATTCGGTGGTTTTCTCATTACACAAAAAGTAAATGTGTGCGGTTCGAAGGAAATCATAAATGCAATTCAATTTTTATTCACGTTGGAATAATGTACTGCACCCTTATTTACAAACTGAAACCAATTACAAGCCACACTGTACTTACGTTTCTGACTGAAGAGAAAAACATTACATTAGAGACTACCGACATAAATACGGTAATTCCGGATATAATTTAATGAAAGAGTATCAATAGCCGGTTACAGGTCAAAGAACACCAATAAAATATGTATAACTCCTGTTGTCAGTTTTGCTCTCTGCGGTTTTATTCATTTAGAAGTCATACACTCGTGAGTGCTTTCTTTCACTACGCAGATGAAAGCTCAGTCCGCGAAAGCTTGTTGCGAGTTTAAAACTAATAAGTGGTGTGTTAATGTTGCAAAAATCCTATTTGAAACAAACAATTATAGTGAATAGTCTTCTAAAATTAATATCAAAATTTATCCAGAAATTTATTTATCCCACGATGTTTTCAAAGCAGGAAAATTTGTTGTTTTGGATTTAGACAGACAAGAAATGATTAGATCTGAAGGTTGAGTTTGTATTTTCTTACTAGACCTCAATCACCATTTACAAAGCGCGTGTTCGTAATGCAAAAGTTCGACTGGATCTATACAATACGGTCACACATTCTAATGTTAAAATTCATGGGACTAGAAATTAAAAGTGATGAGAAACCTGCATCGAATCTGTACAAACTGTACACATTTTTCTCAGTTGTCGTTATAATGGGTGGTCACAATTTTTTCCAGACAGTGAACATTTATTTTGTGTATGAAGATTTAGAAGCTCTAACACCTATTATCGTCGTGACTAGTACTTGTATTCTGGTGTCTGTAAAAATCCATTTCTTTCAGCGAAATATCACCATCATCAATGACCTTATACTCTCGTTAAACAGTGATATATTTCAACCAAAAACTGAACAACAAAGAAGAAGTGCTGAACTGACACTATACTTCTTTAAGATTGTCTATCTGTCTTTCTTATCCCTTGCGGTTATGGCTTCATCCGCATGGTTACTCATTCCAATTTTGACTAAAGGAACTCAAGATAAACAGCTACCATTTGCCGCATGGTATCCCTATGACAGTACGATCTCGCCTCTGTACGAATTTACCTACATTTATCAATGTGTCGCCACACTTTACCTCGTCACAACTATGGTACATATAGACACATTAATTTTTTTTCTCATAATGTACATCACAATCCAGTGTGATAATTTGTGTGATGATCTTAAAAATCTTCACCATGACCTGTATAATGTTGATGTCAATCAAAGGGTCATTGCTTGCGTCAAGCACCACCAAGCTATCTTGAGGTATTTCTGTAACAGAACAAACCACTTTAAAGTTTTTGATGTCTTACACATTTCCAGTTCAGCTGTGGACAGTAATAAATTTTTCGATAAGACTATTTTAGGTCAGTTAGTCACTACAACGGTTACTTTTGCAGTAAATATGTTACAGTTGTCTTTGGTAGGTTTCCCTGCAATTATCGAAAGCTGATAATTTTACGATTTTTCGATAGGTCGTTAATTTAGGTCGTGAAGGTGTAAAGAGTGTTTTTAACGTCATGGCAGTGATCACACAGATTTTTATTTACTGCTGGTTCGGAGAGGAAGTTCAGGTTAAGGTAAGAATCATTTGAATTTTTTGAGCAGTTGCTTTGAATGGTGAATTCGTGTCGAAAAAACGTTTTGTCGTGGTTTTTCTAAAATCAAATTTAGCTACAAAATTCAGAAAGGAATTTAAAAAAAAAGACTTACGGTCTAATAAAGCAAGTTATGAATAGCTGCTAGAATAATCAACGAAAATCGTTAAAGGCATTTTATTACAACTGTTTACTGCAAAACTCTAAAATAAACTTTAAACTTTTTTGATATTATTCCAACACCCTGTAGTTACATTTGTGCACAGAGCTGTACTAATCAATAATGCCTCAAAAATTTAAGCCATGTTGAAATTCTCTAAAAAATGAAATAACAACCTTGAATAAATTCCATAAGCACCATTTACCTACAAATTAAAAAACAATAAAATATTTAAATTCAAGTTCACTTAATTAGGTAGTGGCGTTTTATTAAATTAGATAATAACAGTGCTCACTCAGCTTCCACGTCAGTTTCCAAAGACTCTTCATAAAATATGTATACATTTGACTACCACCTTCCATACAAGATTTATAATGTTATTTTGATGCGCAGAACTAAACTGATAACCCCATTAAACACTCCAAAGACCAGTCAGTAAACTAAAGAGTGAAGTAATGGCGTTCAAAGTGCAAAAGCTTGATTTAAAACGCACACTACGAATGAACATTCTCATGTTAAAATTAATGGGACTGTGGCCTGAAAGTTCCACATACAAACCAAATTTGTACGGTTTTTACGCCTTCATCACAGTTGTTGTGATAATGGGTAGTCACAATTTTTTCCAGTTGATAAATATTTTTTTCACCTACAAAGACATCGAAGCTTTGGCGAATAGCATTTTCATCACAAGCACTGACGTTCTCGTATCTGTGAAAACATGTTTCTTCGTACAAAATCTGAAAATAGTGAAGAAAGTTACAAATATGTGGAACCATGAAGTCTTTCAACCAAAAAGTAGAATTCAAAGCGAAACACTCCAAAGAAACTTGGGTTTTTGGAAACTGATGTATGTTTCGTATTTTTCGATGGTTAGTGTGACGTCTTTCATTTGGATGATTATTCCAATTTTAACTAAAACTGTCCGAAACAAGCAACTACCACTTGCCGCTTGGTACTTCTACGATACTAAAATTTCGCCACTGTATGAAATAACGTACTTTTATCAGTGCGTTGGAACAGCTTTATTGGTCATAACTACCATAAATATGGACTCTCTTGTACTGGCTCTAATGACCTATATAGTCGCCCAGTGCGACAATTTGTGCGATTCTTTTAAGTATATCAACATCGACAAAAGACGCAACAGTGTTAATAGAAACATTGTTGAGTGTATAATACATCATAAAAAAATTTTAAGGTATGTGTAGCGGTTCTTAAAAATGTAATCGAAATTAAAATGTTTCTAGATTTGCTCAAGACAGCAACAAATTTTTTGATAAAATAATTTTGGGACAATTTGCTACCAGTACCATTGTTCTCGCGTCAACTATGTTTCAGTTGTCTTTGGTGAGTTTTCCAAGAAATTTTACATAAATAATGTTTGGAATTTTGTAAGGTCAATCCTTTTAGTAAAGATGGGTTCATTAGAATATTGTACACGGGAACAATAACTTCGCAGATTTTTATTTATTGTTGGTTTGGAAACGAAGTTGAAATCAAGGTGAGACAAAAATGTGGCACTTGCCCCCTAATGTCAGTTAAAAATATGTTCACAATGTGGTATTATTGAGCTTTTCTGTCTTCTTTTATCGAACCTGAGTCGAATTTATCTGTATTTTGCGGACACTTAAAACATCTGATGGTAGAAATTTATTTTTCGATTTCTGCGGAAACGAGAAAAAAGTAAAGACCTAGAACTGCGCCAATTTTTCAAAGTCAACAACTTTTCGTCTTCAATTTAAAATGAATGTATAATTGAAGAATTAAAATTAATCTCGCGAACAAATCTGTTCAATTTGGCACATTTTTATGTTTTCTTGATATTTTCTTCTTTAGAGCTCAAGAAATAATAAATAGACTAGATGCAATTATTTTTATCAGTAATTGGAAAAAGTTTATTTACTGAAATATAAAGAGGAAAAAGAATGTAGTAAATAATACATATCATTCTTACATTAATTATTTATTTTTCGAAAAAAAAACAAAAATTAATTTTATAGATTTTGTTTGTCGATAAATAATTCCAGATTTCAGATTTATATTTTGTTAAATAACTTACATACTAGGCAAAAACCGATCGCTTTTATTTTCCTGACGTATACTAAGGGAGTATTGTAATACAATTCATACGACGAATGGTTGCTTTAATGTTTTCTAGACGTCTCGTAATCCCCAGAGTGTGAAAAAATAGGTCTTCCATTTCCGTCTGCTTGTCTGTTGACTGTAGTCTATCTGCCGTCTCTCTGCTGTCTGTCTGTCGACGGTGTCGAAACTACTCGACCGATTGTTGTCATACCCATACACTTGTGATTTACGAATCCGACTTGATATTTTACCCTGGACGTTCACATTGTTCGAAAAAAAGCAAAATTATGTTGTGTTTGGAAAAAATCTAAGTTCGTAGCTGTCCTATTACTTCCCGAGTCCATCGGGCGAATGCCCACTTTTCTATTTTCTCGACGTTTCATGACCCCTACAGCACAAAAAAAGTAGTCTCCCGTTTCCGTCTGTCTGTCTGTCGGGTGCTTGTCCATTTTTATTAGACACGTAATCTCCGAAACTGCTGGACCGATTGTAGTCAAATTTTGTATATATATATATATATATTATAAGTATGATGTAAACGGTTAAATGCTAACCAAAATTTTGCTAATCATTCTCACCAACAATTTGATCATGTGATTTCAAAGAATATATGTTTATTTGATTTAACTGTTATACAACAATATACTACTATAAGTGTGGTGTACGAGTCCACTTTGAGTTTTTCCCCAACCGTCCAAAATTTTTGCAAAAACATAAAGCACGGTAGAGTAGTTTACCATTAGCGGATGGCATCACGGTCGTGGTCTAGTGGTTAAGGCTGACGAATGCGGATCGGACGTCGCGCGTTCAATTCCAAACTTGGCCTTTCGTTTTTTCCTTTTTTTTCCTCTTTTTCTCGCGCGTTGAGTATTATCTATGTTTATAACAAAAAAAAAATTGGTTAAATTAAGAACGAATCATCCCATTTTCTCGAAAATGTGTTAAAACGCACATATATAATAATGATAAAATAAGAATTATAATATTCACAACATTGTGTTCGATTGTTCGATTTAATTAACAATTTTAGTCATATGTTTTGAGAAGACAAACTCAGCCAAATCAAACTAATTTCTACGTGACATTCTTTCGATGTATAAACATAAATAAACACTTGAGCTTCAGATTGCTTTTACCTAATGCTGAAGGACAGTTTATCCTGTTAGTTAAGTGTTTCAAATACATTTTACATTGTCCGTACGATGCAGGGGCTGCGGGGGTGTTATTTATGCCGTTTTGTCAGATTATACTTCTAGGGCGAGGGAAGTTCTATCGAAATAGCCTTTGACCAATTTTTTTCTAGTACAAATAAATATTGTTTATTATTTCAAATTAAATCATTTTAATTGTACAACGATCGCATTCGAAAAATTTATGTTTAAGGTCAATTTGGTTTTGTGTACAACATTCAACTTTTTTTTAAAGACACCTATGTATTTTTCAGAGATTCTTAGAGAGATTTTCTTTCTGAATTCACTGATTCTTTAATATTTTCAGATATTGATGTTTTAATATTTGCAAAAAAATTTATATTGAATTATTATTTTCCTGTAAAAAAACATAATTGTCGCAATAAATTCGTTACGGCTGCCTTGATACAAAAATTAAATTAATTTTTACCACAAATTTTTAACAAAATGTGATAACTTCATGATACCCCTGTGAATTCAGAAAAAGTATCTCTACAAGAATCTCTAAAAAAATTGGTCCAAGGTTACTTAACAAATTTCGCTTCTTTGAAAAATTATAGAAAATTTGTGTTTTTTGATAACCTTTATATAGTAAAAACCAGTAGTGTAAATGATACCTCGAACCCCCTACGCCGCGGGGGTGTAAAGGATATACAGACAACATGAAATGTATTTAAAGCAAATAACTAACGGAAAAGAGTGTATTATTAACATTGTATATGCTTAATTTCGATTATTTATGTTTATTGTTTATACATCGAAAGAATGTCACGGGGAAATTTGTTTAATTTGACTGAGTTGTCTACTCAAAACAGAAGACTAAAATTATTAATTAAGCCACAATGGAACAAAATGTTTTGAATTTGATCATTATTATTCTTATTTGATCATAATTAGATAAAAACGTGGGTATTCTCATATTTTCTAGAAAATGAGGTTTTTAATTTGATCAGTAAAAAATTGGTCGAAGGTTATAAGTAAATATAATCCTACAAATCCAGCTCTTTAAAAAAATTATAAAATTTGATTCTACGATTTTCTGTTTTGTGATAACCGCTATAAAGTAAAAACCTGGGGCATCAATAACACCCCTTGTCCTTCAGGACTAGGTAATAGTTAAAATATATAGGGTGTCATTAAAAAAACGGCTTAATTTAACTCAATACTGTATTCAAAAAAATTAGACAATTATGGGCTTATTTTTTTTTAACCTAATATATAACAACATTTTACAATTCAACTGTGAAACTACAAAACCAAATGCTCTGAAATTTTGCAAAATTTTTCAGGTTATCATAAGCATGGTAAATCGTTAATCAAAATGTATCCATTTATTCCCTCCAAAAAAGCTGTGACGTCATCCAAAATTTTGGCGAACAAATCCTGGATGATTTTTTTCGAAAAAATCAAAGGCGATATAATGTTAACACTGTCCATTTTATATGTTTCTGAGTGTTACCATAATTGATTGTTCTGAATTTCAAACTTATATCTTTTCAACTAAGATGTTAGAGTGGAACGAAAAACAAGTATATTCAGTACATCAGTCATCATAATAATTATTTGTGATAAAACTAGTTCTTCATTAAGATACCTAAAATTTTGTAATGATAATGACGATATTTTCCAGAATAAGGAATACGCAAATATTATCTTATGACATTATTAGAATTGTGTGTTTTCCTGTGTTCGCCTCTGTCTTTATGTAAAATTGCCAGTTTTTTAAATTATGAATCCAAAGTCTTAATGTGGCTCATCTCCCTAAAAGAAAATACTGCATTAAACATATTTTTCCCAAATTTTATTAAAAAAAAAAAATCTAAACATTTTTTTTAAACGTTTAAAATGCATAAACCGCAACTTTAAAATAGAATATTTCACCTTTCACAAGGCTTTTGTAAAGATTCTACACAAAAAATCTAGAGTTCTTAAAATTCTTAGATGTAAATGCACAAACATTACTCACCTTCAAGAAATTAGATTATTAATGACTTGCTGCTTTTTACATATACTTAAACATTTTTTACTACCATATTCCTTAGTTTTTCGAACTACCAAAACTGTTTATTATTCTCCAACTCGTGATATAGGGATTTCTATAATAATTACTTCTTTGACGCTATGGACGCTATATGAAGCTTCTTTACACTCTGGATCGTAGCGTTTTGTTACGACACCCTGTAGCTAGAATTGTGCACAAAACTGCATTAATTTATAATAGCTTGAAAATTGTCTAGCTCTGTAAAAAATGAAATAATAGCCTTGCCTAAATTCCATAAGCTTGTTTTTACCCACTAATTAAAAAACAATAAATTATTTAAATTCAATTTTACTCGAACTTAAGTATAATTAGGTAGTGGCATCTTACTAAATTAGATAATAACAGTCCTCAGTTTGCTTCCACGTCACTCTCCAAAGACTCGTCATAAAATATGTAAAATTACATCCTTTATAATATATTTTCAAGCGCAGAATGAAATTTGTGTTAGTAACCCACTAAACAGTGCCAAAACTAGTCAGAAAACTGAACAAATGGCTTTCAAAGTCGAAAAACGTGATTTAAAACACACAATACGAATCACCATTCTTATGTTAAAATTAATGGGATTGTGGCCTGATGGTGACACCATATACAAATTTGATTTGTATGGTTTCTACTCGTTCATCTCAGTCGTTGTGATAATGGGTTTGCATAACTTTTTTCAATTAATAAGTATTTTTTTGGCCTACAAGAACATAGAAACTTTCGCAGATAGCATTTTCCTCACAACCACTGACGTTCTTATATCTGTGAAGACATTCTTCTTTCTACGAAATCTGAAAATTGTGAAGAAGCTTACAGATTTGTGGAACGATGAAATCTTTCAACCAAAAAGTAACAATCAAGATGAAATAATTCGAAGAACTTTAAACTTTTGGAAAATGGTGTATATTTCGTACTTTTCGATGGTTAGTGTGACGTCTTCCATATGGTTACTGATTCCAGTTTTAACTAACACTGTCCGAGACAAACAACTACCCCTTATCGCTTGGTACTTCTATGATAGCACAGTTTCACCACTGTATGAGATAACCTACGTCTATCAGTCCATCGGGACAGTTTTTCTGGTGATATCCACCATAAATATGGACGCTCTTATACTAGCATTAATGAGCTACATAGTCGCTCAGTGTGACAATTTGTGCGACTCTTTTAAATATATTACCATTGACAAAAGATGCGACGTTATTAAGACAAAAATTGTGGAGTGTATAACGCACCACAAAACAATTTTGAGGTATTCGAAACGGTTGTGTTAAAAGTAGAAATAAAACTTGGTTTCCAGTTTTGCTCAAGACAGCAACCGGTTTTTTGACAAAATAATTTTGGGACAATTTTTTACAAGCACCGTTGTTCTTGCATCAACCATGTTTCAGTTGTCTTTGGTAAGTTTTCAAATTAATTTTAAACTAAATAATACCTAATTTTTGTAAGGTCAACCCTCTGAGTAACGAGGGGTTCATTAGAATGTTATATTCGGTGGCAATAACTTCCCAGGTTTTTATTTATTGCTGGTTTGGGAACGAAGTTGAAACCAAGGTAAGAAAAAGCCTGAACTCTAACACCGCAGTGTTCTATTCTTTATAACAAAACTTACATGTGAAGTATTTTTGGACACACATGACATAATTATTATTATTAACAATAATATAACAGAACAAAAATTTTGGTAGCGTTTTACCATCTATAGACATGGTAAAACATTAATCAAAATATATCTAGTCATATCCACCAACAATTTTTCATGGTACATTCTACTTAAATTTTATAAAATAACATATTCCTGTACTTGTGGTTTATGAAACCGTTTTAATTTTGTACGCCGGGTATCCACATTTTCGTACTGGAATAATGAAATATGTGCGTGCTGTCTAACTCGGTCAAACATATAAAATGTAAAATAAAGTATAACAGACTGCTTGTCATTATCTTCCAACCACTTAACAATTTTTAAAGTTTAATGCACGAGACATTATTTTAATAAAATCGCTAATGAAAGAGTAACAAACTTCCTTTGAATTTTAAAACACGTAACCATCATTTATTCATAATTCAGCGGAGCTTATTCTCTTTCTACCAGACGTATTATTTGCGTATTGTGGTTTTGCGCGCTGAACAGATTCCATTTCCAAAGCTAAACTTCATCAGTACATAAGCGACTTCTAAAGTGTTGTGTGTGTGCAATGGAAAAATTCGATTTTACTCACAACACAATCCGAATTAACATTTTAATGTTAAGCTTAGTGGGATTGTGTACTAACAAGGCGCAGATTTCTTCACCAGTTCTATACGAACTTTACTCGTTTCTCATAATAGTCGTTCTGATGGGAGGTCACAATTTTTTCCAAGCAGTGAACATTTACTTCGTGTATAACGATCTGGATGCTTTAACATCAAATATTATTGTTTCATCGTGTTCGATTCTGGTGTCTTTAAAAATATTTTTCTTTCAACGAAATATTAAAATTTTCAATAAAAACGTACTCACTTTGAACGATGACATATTTCAGCCGAAAAATCTAAACCAGAGGAAAAGTGCCGTTTTCACTGTAAGTTTGTGGAAGTTCATCTATGTTTCTTTTTCTTCGGTTCTTTTCGTGGCTTCAGTCGCTTGGTTGCTTTTTCCTTTCTTTACTAACGCAATACAACAGAAACAACTCCCGTTTCCTTCTTGGTATCCGTACAACAGTACAATATCACCATTATATGAACTCAGTTACATTTATCAGTGTACAGCCATATTATATCTTCTCGTAGCTGTAGTACAAATAGATACCTTAATCTTCTTCTTCATGTTATATTTAATCAATCAGTGTGACATGTTGTGTGATAGTCTGAAAAATCTTCACCACGATATTGATAAACCTTGGTATGTTAACAAACAAATCAAAGACTGTGTAAAACAACACCAAGCTATATTGAGGTACTCTCTTATCAAAAACATTCACAGTGAACTTAGTCTCTGCGTTTTCAGTTCGGCTACTTACACCAACAAAATTTTCGATAAGATAATGTTAGGACAATTCGTGAGCAGCACAACAGCTCTTGCAGTAGCTCTATTTAGGTTATCTTTGGTGAGTTTTTCGATTTTTCGATACAAATGGTGATACTTTTTTGATAGGTCGATAATGTAATTAGCGGAGGTTTGAACGAGATTTTTAATGGATTGGCAACTATCATACAAATTTTTATCTGGTCCTGGTTTGGCAACGAAATTGAAGTTAAGGTGAGGTACCTCCAATTGATAAAGCTTCATGTGCACTACAATGCTTCAAAATTTGGATGCAAAAATGTGTCATTTTACTGGTAACGTTTTACGAAGGAATAGGTGCCGTTGTTATAAATTTTTCAAACTTTTTATAAAATGGTGACGTTTTTACAATTATGTATCTACATAGAAGTGTAGTAGATATTTCAGTGTTCAATTTGAAAAAACTGAAATATCGATATTTGGAAATTGTTAAATTTTATTTTTTATAATCGTTCTGTATGTTAAAACCCAATTTGACTTATATTACATTAAAGCGTATCTTTTTTTGCTAAAAATTTCAATAAAATTGGAATAATTTCGCAAAGTTGCATCCGCGTTTTGAAAATAAATAGTCAAATTTGTATAAAAAAAGTTGATGAATTCGTTTCGTATGAATTGAAGCTTCTAATTGTTACCATACCTCCATGTGATACAGAAATATTATTCTGTTGTTCGAAAATTTTCTGTAGTAAATATAATTTATATATTACAGAATAACATACTTGTGGTCTATGAATCCATATTGAGTTTTTACCCTGGACCTACAGATTTTTAGAAAAAAATCAAAATTGTATAGTATGAAAAATATGACAAAAAAACTTTTTCATGCCAGTAAGAAATAATGTTTACACTATGATCGATAAAAATAGGTTGTTTTTTAGTTATTTTCAACATACTTTAATTATTACATCTTAAAAAAGTACATACAATTTTGGACACAATATGTTGTTGGCTTACACATATAAATAATTAATCGGAGACTAAAAAATACAGCTACGACATCATCAACTTTTCCATTATTCATGTCGTTTCCAAAATCTGACCACAATAAAAAATATATTCTTCTGAAATAGTTTTATGTGCTCTTTTGAAATAAATATAAAAAATTGGTTGAAAGTTGTATGGCCAGAACTTCCCTCGCTCCTGAAGTCTACCGAAACGTATCTAGCATTTTCGAGTTTCTTTACATAATTTTGTGATGACGTCATCAACATTTTTGCAAGGACACGTATATCGACTTGGATTGATGCACTGTATTACTAAACATAACAGTATAGTATTTCCAAAATTTTCTGGGAAAATGGAGTAAGCCGTTCCCGATTTAACCAACAAAATAAATTGACCCATTCATTAATTTTTTTGAACCACATGTTTAAGCAAATCTAAAAAATATGAATGCAATGATAAATCACAAGTAAAACTCATCATATTTTCCATATTTTGAATAGAATTTATTCGGGAACATTTTGAGATGACTATCAATTTTTTTGTTAAAAATTTATCATGCTCATCATAACTTCAAAACGTCTGCAAGATTTCAAAGTATTCAGTTTTGCAATTCTTCATTTAATCAATAAAATAAATTGAGTGATTCGTTAGTTTTTTTGAGTGACCCTGTATCACCAAATCTAAAAAAATTGAGGTTCTAATTTTGATCAATAAAAAATCTAGCTTTTTAAAAACTTATAAAATTTGTTTTTACGATTTTCGTTTCGTGATAACCGCTGTAAAGTAAAAACCAGAGGCATAAATAACACCTCTTATCCTTCAGCAGTAGATAATAGCAATCAGAAGCTCAAGTGTTTTCTTATGTTTATATCGAAAGAATGTTACGTAGAAGTTTGATTTGAACGAGTTTGTCTGCTCAAAACAGGACTAAAATTATTAATTAAAGCACAATCGAACAAACTGTTCTGAATATTATAATTCTTATTTTATCATGATTATATGTATTATATTATTATATTTATTTTTCACATTTTTGAGAAAACGAGAACGTACGAACTGTGTCGGGAATAAAACATTATTATACCTTGCAAATGTTTTTGCGAAAATTTGAACGTTTAGCGAAAAAACTGAAAGTGAATCCATGTACACTACGAGTATATGAGTATATCTTTGTGCAACATTCAAAACATTTTAGAATACCATTCACTGAAGTGACGTCATCAAATTGTTGGTGGTGATTATTAGCCAAATTTTGGTTAGCATTTAACCTTCTACATGATATTTCTAATATACATAAAAAATTTGACAACAATCGGTCTAGCAGTTTCGGAGATTACGTGTCTAATACCAGACAGACAGACACACGGACAAACAGACGGAAACGGGAAACTACTTTTTCATACTGCAGAGGTCATGAAACGTCGAGAAAACATAAAATTGGCCATTCGTTCGATGGACACGATTACTATACGTCCTTATCTTACACTCGGGAAGTAAAAATAAAATCAGGACGGCAGGTGGACAGACAGACGGATAGACAGACAGACAGACGGACAGACAGATACACGGACCGGCAGACGCAGAGACACTCGGGAAGTAAAATCACTTTTAAAATTTCACAATCAACATAAAATTGTTCCAAAACCTTTTTTTTATCCTCACCGAAAATTGCCTCATACTCCTATTATTTTTATTATATGGCATTATTTCCAAATATGTATAGTACATCCACTTTACATGCATTTCATCTAAAAGTCTAGAATTGGGTAGTAACTAAATACAGTTCTTCAAAATTATTAAATCACTCCTTAATTTTTTTCCGGAATTTTGACGTAATAACCACAATAACAAATGTAATTTTGTTTTTGTAAATATTAAAATACAAGATTTAGAATTACAAAAATCAGATAAGTACCAACATATTCTTTTCTCGACCTTATTTTTGCAACATATTGTGTGTTTTTAGCCTCCTCTATATCTTGCTGTTCTATAAAACACGCTTGAAGACATATTTTGGAAAAAATAATTTTTACCTTCTGAAATGTAAGAAAGGTATCTATTAAATTATAAAATATCATTTTAAATGTTTAATTTTAAGATTTCTCGGTCCCTCACAGTTCATGGAATACGAATAAGAAATTGTTTTTTTATACATATTCAGAATGTCTCAATTAAAACATTATTTCACAAAACGCGGAATATTTGCATCAAATTTCGCATGTTTATTTTGATTAAAAAGATTTTGCGATCAGCTCACAAAATATTTAACAAAGTTTTAGG